GATATCAACACGGCGATCGTCAGGTTGATAGGTGGTGTCGGCCAGGTTGGAGACGACGTGGTGCCCCATGGTACTCGTCAAATCGGCCTATGGGACATTTAGTCAAATCAGGTACGATAATGGGCGGCAGATTTACCCTTGACATCGTGTTTACCATGTGACGGGCGAAAGAGTATCTGAAAGAAAGCGCGGACAGATCTAAGCACCCGTGCACTGTTAGCGGTGCGTTGAGGAAAGGAATGTGTCGAACTCACATCTGAACCCCAGGGCCTTTCCAATGATTGAGATCAAGTGGCTCATCGCGACGTAAGTCTCGGAAGTGCACCGATCACTGTTCACAAAGACTGCTTGCTCTAGAACCTCGGATTTGAAGCGGAAAAGCCGAGGAAGCCTTCGAGGGAGCTTTGAGGGGTCTTTGAACATGTCTAGCAGTGCGTCACCCTCCTCGAATGCATAACGCGCGAGGGCCTGGGCAACAAAGAGGAGCACAAAATCGGCGATGATATGGTCTCCGGAGAGCGAGTGTAGAGAGACAGTGATGCTAGACGCAGGCGTGAGTTGGCGGAACAAAGATGATGGTGCGCATACATACTAATCAGCTTCTGAGTGACGCTTGTGCTTTGCCCAATGGATAGCGAGAAAGAGAGAGATGTCGAGGCCCTCACCCTCCTTCCAGCCATTGACAAAGACTTGTATGTCCTGCCCAAACAGATCCTTATCAACGAAGAGCGGAGGCGAGGCATACTACTACATACCTTGAGTTTGAGACATTGTTCGCTGTGCAGTTTTTCATATCCTCTGCTTATGACGATGCCGCCGGGGCGCTGGCCGGTGGCGTACAGCAGCATGCCCATCGCCATTGCGTTCATGCGCTGTGTAATGCTCGACCTGATGCTAGCTGAAAGCGGAGGTCCCAGGTGACTCACCAGCCAGATAGACTTGATGGGTGTTTCATAGTTGAGGCATCCGGCAAGGTAGTCGTGGAAGTCGCCGAGGCGGAGGAATCGCTTTGGGCGCCTAGATGTAGGCAGTGACCCGTCCTTGGCCCATTGACGGATCGCCTAAAAGGACGGCATGAATACAATGGGTGAGTGTCCGTCGTCGAGGCTTACATTGTTAATCTGTACTCGATCTTCCTTTGGAGGTATGCCGGCGCCGATTGATTTGAGCTAAGTGACAAGTAGTGTCAAGAGGAGGAAGAGTGTACACATGAACACGGCACAGTACATAGCTGCAGAGGACACCGACGGCAACCATGCACGTCCGCACACACCATCCCTTCGTGTCCGGCTTGAGGTGTGATTGTCCCTCCGTGAAGATGAGCTTGAGGCCAGCGATGGCGATTGCTTTTGACGGAAACGTGGATCCCGGACCGGTAGCAGCCTTGGCCTTGGCCTCGTCATTGCCATGCGCCCATAACATGTAATCGTACCAGTGCGAGAAAATACGCTTACGGGCCGCTTCTGAATTCGGCTGAAGTGGCCTCTCCCATATCTTGTCGAACTCGTTCAGCCGCGAGAGTAGCTGCTCTGGCGAGCCATAGAACGCAGTCAGCCCGGCCGCTATGTCGCGTGCACGGGATACCTTCCGGGGTTGGTAGCCGCCTCGGCGCTTGGGCTTGCTTGGACCGGGTGCAGCAGAGTCGGGGCAAGAGCTGGTCGAAGGGCCAGGAGCAGGATGCGGAAGAGAGGATGAGCCAGTGGGGACAGAGGAGGCGACTACAGGGTGGGGAAGGGAGGACGTGGACGGTAGTAAGCCAGAGGGACGAGGGGCAGAGGAGGAGGCAAGGACACTGCCGGCGCACGAAGATATGGGAAGAGTTGAGGCAATGGACCGGGTGGAGTCCACGGATCCGCGTTGAGACGGAGTGCGTGACAGTGCGCGAGACGGTACACGTAACGGTATGCGCGATGGCACGTGCGACGGCGGGGGCATTTTGCGCGAAACAGGGATGGGAATAGGTGCAGAGGCAGCAGGCGCATCGGGTGCGGCATGATGGGAGAGCGCGACACGGGCGGTTGGTGCCACCGGTGTCGTCGTATCTGCTGGTGTTGTTGCGGGCACGGGAGCAGAGACAGTGATAGGGACAACTACGGCGGCACTGGGTGCTGCTTTTTTAACTCCGAGAGACCGGGGGGCTCCGAGAGAATGCGCGGGCGAGATTGTAGCAGGCGTGAAACGCTTGCTTGGTCGAGGAGTGGGACCCGGAGTGGGACCAGAGGCAGAGCCGGTGGACGCAGTCTGGCGCAGCGGTGCGACTGACGGCGTGGCGGATATACTAGTCGCGGAGGACGACGTGGGGACGTTGGCCGGTGTCGTACCCGCGCCAGTGCGTGCACGAGGAGGGGCACAGTTTGGAACAAACTTCAGCTTTCGTTTCGGGGGCATGGCAAGCACCCGAGGAGAGGAAACGGAGCGGGAGCGTCGTGGTGGGACCAACCGGTGAGACGCATTTAAGCGGCGCAAGAGACGCGCGCCGACGCTGCCAATGAAGGACGGTCAACGGGCCACCGTTGACGGAGGTACAGTCGGTGTCAATGGCTCCGGCGTACGTGCCATAGGCGACTGTAAGCCGTCAGCGACTGTCTACGAGCATGGGCATCCGGCACCTCACGGCAGACGTTGGCAGGCGTTGAGGACGGAGTCGCAAGTATGATGGTAGAAGAAGGGGTGGATGATACTTGATGAGGATTAAAGAGCGGGGCTTGGCACTGCATTAACCATGTTCGCGACATGGAATATGCGCGAACTGATGGCGTGTCACGGCAGCCAGTGATGGTTCACCAGGGTAGGCAACAGAAACACCAATAGTGGGTGTTCGTCGCTATGAGGTGTCCATCGCACGGGCGTGCAACAAGGCAAGGAGCAGTTTATTGCGCCAGGATAAGTAATGCCCATGTAGACTCACCGGTGTTCAATATGAGTCCACATGGGCCATGACTGAGGAAGCGGGTACGACGTATCGCAGTTGTCCCGCGGCAAGAGGTCCCGCGCCAGCGTGAGCGCCAGTCAGTGTACGACACGCAGCGTAGACAGTGAAGACTCGGACACGGGTGGCGCGGGCGACGTCAAAGTTGACTGGGCAGCGCAACGGGCTTAATGACGCGCAACGCGCGGACATGACGCGTCGTTCGACGTGCCACGCAACCCGCTGACACGGGGACTGTCATTCGGCAAGCCACTGCCCCGAGAGAGGGCTAGGTGTTCGTGTATGACACGGGCAATGAATGATCCTAATACAGCGGGGAGTTTTGGGGTCTGCTATGCAGACCCCAAAGTTGAGGCAAGACAGAGGGTTCGCGTATGACACGGGCAATGAATGATACTAGTACAGCGGGGACTTTCGGGTCTGCATAGCAGACGCGTACGAGCTACTCAGGGGGCTGTCACGGTGGCAGCCGGGTAGTCGTCGAGGAAATGCTGGATGTGGGCGGCAACAGCATCACCGCCAAGGACGGTAATGATACGGACGAGGGCGCGACGGGCACGGGCATGTGGGGGCAGTTGAGCGGGAACGACGGTGGCGAGGATGTTGTTGAGGACAGGGACAAAGGTGCGGGAGTGTGCATTGACGAGCCTGTCGACGGCCCAGGTGGTGTCCAGGAGGACGGCTGCACCAAACTAAGGAGAAACGATGTTCAGAGGGAAGGAGAGCAAAGGGCGGTAGCGCACGTACCATGTTGTAGAGCCTGAGGAGACGGCCGCGGGCGGAGATGGCATGCCTGGTAGCGGTGCGCCAGGATTTGAAGCGAGGGGCAAGGGCATTGAAGTGTCGCTGGGTGGCGGGGCCGGTGAGGCCGAGGAACTCGGGGGCGATGTTAGGATCTTGGATGAACGCCGTCTTGAAGAACGCAGAGGCCCATTTTTTACCACCGGGCATTCCACGGCACTCTTGCCAGTCTGCAGCAAACTTGATATTGTCGACTTGGTACAGGATGAAGGATACGATGGTATTGGCAGTGTTGCCGAGGAGAGTTGTGGTGAGAGCCTTGTGGCGTTCGGTGAGGCGTTCGGTGAGGCCGGCGATGTCGTCGTGGGCAGCTGAGAAGGCGATAGTGCTAGTGTGTGTTGTTGTGAGACGGTCGCCCATGGCTCCGAGAGCCTCTTCCTGAAAGTGTAATGTGTGAGCCCGCAGTGTGTGCGCGCGCATATAGTCAACTCACCCAGTCATTAAGTGATCCGTAAGGGAGACCGCGTAGGAGACGCGCAAACGCCAGGTCCTCTTGGTCGGCGGCTTTTGCGCGGTCGGGCTGGGCAAGGAGGCCTTGGACGACGTCGGCGGGGGAGGGCACGTCACCACCCAGGTGGTCGAGAATGCGGGTAGTACGGGCAGCAGCCGTACTCGCAGCATCGGACGAGGGTTTAGCGCGGCGCACCGATGATCGGCGTGCAACAGGCGGTGTGGTGTCACGAGCGTAGTCTGCGTCTGCGTCTGCGTCAACTTCGGCATGGTCACCGCCGTCCCCGTCGCTGTCGCCGAGAGAGTCGACAAGTCGGGCGTGGATCGCAGAGACACGGTCACGGATGGCAGTGGCGAAAGGGCGAGAGCGAGGGGAGGACGGAGGAAGGTCCTCGCAGAGGGGCTCCATGCCCTCGACGTGGGTGAGAAGGGAGCGGAGGAGGATAGTGTTTGCGGACATGGTGATCGGGGAGGGAGCGGAGGCGGGGCGGCGGGGGCGGGGGCGGCATTATATGTACGAGCGCACTGGACGCGCACAATGCGAGGTGTGCGCGCAGGGCGGGCGTGGTGACGTACGGCAGGCGTGGTGACGTACGGCGGGCGTGGTGACGGCGGGCAGGCGTGCATGGTGACGGCGGGCGGGCGCGGTGACGTACATCAGACGAGGGGGCGTGGTGGACGCGACAGGCGGGGCACAAAAGAAGTGAAGGGGTTAGGATTGGAACGCGCGGAGGAAACGCAAGAGATGTACAGCGTATCAAAGCGTGTGCGTTTCGCGGGGCGATCGGGAGGAGGCGGGGACGCGACGAGAGCAAAACAGTGGCCAGTGCCGGGCTCGAACCGACGACCTTGGCGTATTACGTAACGTATTAGCACCACGCGCTAACCATCTGTGCCAACCGGCCGACGGACTATTTGGGGTAGAGCACGTTGTGATGGTGCGAGGCGGGCGTGGTGACGTATGCGGTGCGCAAAAAGAGGTGAAGGGATGGGGAATGGAACGCGCGGATTGGGGGGATGGGTGGGGCGAGAACGAAAGCGCGTGAAAACTATAGCTCAGGTGAAAAAGGTGTCGCCGAGGCACCACCACGCTCTAACCAACTGAGCTAGCCGGCCATGTCTATTATGCTTTTTACCACAATATGATCGCATATTGACTGCATTGCGAACCGGACGAATCCACTCCGAGTTCACTCTCAACCACATCTTGTACAGCACCCAATCTGACTATCATTCTACACGCGCATCATGCCTGCTCGAAAACTGCACGCTACGAAACAAGGAACTCTTGCCTTCACTGCTGGGAAGCGTACTACCTCGACGGGTACTAAGGGCAAAGCATCGCAACCAACCCTCAAACGCGCAGTCTCATCCCCCGCAGAGCCCTCCACTCCAGACGTCATCGAGATAGATGACAGCGACAATGATACTGTCGGTGATGACATCGAAAGTGAAGACGACTATGTACCGGATGTCGACAAGCAGAGAGGCAAGAGGAAGCTCTCCGCGGAGAGCGAATCGGACGACGACGAGGAGCACATGCTCAAGCGGCGGAAAGTGCGTGTTACCAACAAGGGCGTGTTTGGGTCTCGGGATGGCACAGAGAACATTGGTCGGTCCGATGCTAGGGCCGCACCCACGAAGGCGAAGGCAAGGGGAGCGAAGGCCCGTGCAAGTTTGGACGAGTCTGATGCCGCGGCGAAGGCTCTGAGGAAGAAGAAGGGGGAGTTGGACGATTTGCCACAGGACGGCCGATGGAGGAAGCATTATGGGGCAGTCAGGGAGAAGATGGGCAACCTCGAGCCTGGTGAGCATTGTTCCGTCTTCACACATGCACCGCGGTCGGGTATATGCGTCGTCCTGGGGTGTCTTGGAAGTCTCGCAATAGCGACGCACCGGATACAGATGGTGTCTGCATGACATCTGTCATGATATTTGTCGCCGTACATGACGCTGACCATTGGTTGAACCCACAATAGTTCATGGCGAAGATCAATCCCCCGTCGACCATATACTGCGCATCTTTGACTTGTGAGTTTCGCCTTGGCTATGCCCGTGGGTGATTGTCCCCTAAATGTGAACTACCAGGTCTTACGAGTATGGCCCATGTATTGGGGTAACCCGGCTGGAGAGGTGGAATCGCGCTGAAGCACTGGGTCTCAGCCCTCCCCCTGAGGCATGTCGGCTTGTTCCTATACTTGAGATACTGCTCACGATGACACGTGTAGGTCAAGGAGATCCTGATGACCAAGGAAGGCAGCGACAATCCACGTTTCACGGAATGCGTTTTCAATGGGGAAGTCTAGTCCCGTTTCCGTTGCAACCATATCGCCCTGCTCTGCCCCTGCTCTGTGCTCTTCGGTTGCTCTGTCTCAAGTCTTTTGTATCCACACCGTGTACTATGTCGATTCGCGTGCTTCATTCGTGAATATATATGCTGTCAAGTGAGTGCTGATTCTATGTGAGCGAGCCATTCCAATCATATCAGGCAGGATTGCGTTGCCACAGGTCCCAGATGGTGACAGTCGATCAAAGAAGCGAACCACGTCGCCCTTCAGCATGAACACGTTGACGCCAGAGCAGTTTATGCGGGTCGGCGTCGTGACACCGTCATTCTTTACTTAGCGCATCCCGAGAGCGGTGATATCAACGCGATGCGACGGCAATGTGCGGTACTGCTATTTCATGCCTTTCTTAGTTGCTGCCACCTTGACTAGCTTCCGCTCTCTCGCTCCTTTTCCTCTCGGTCGTTCCCTGGGACTGTAACCGTCCCGTTTGCTCTCTACAGATGTCTCCTTCAATCAGCTCAGGCAGCTCGGAAGATACTAGCGCTATCCCACGACTTGAATACGGCGAGGAAACGCAGTCCTGCTCCTCCGGACTCGAGGGCTCGCTCTCTGTTGTGGCTAACGAGGTCAAAGCGGGACCTCCCAGCATCGAGATCGGCACGCCTACATCGCCTGTGAAGGAGCTACGGTCACCCATTGCGCTCGTCAGGTCTCTAACAAGAACAAGTGCCAGTGCACCCGCCCCCATACTACCCCCTGGTGCATACAAGCAGCGCTTCCGTTCCGCTGTGCACCGGCTCATAGCAGTACGGCGCGCGTCGGTGTACCTGGCATCAGGACACATTGGCGCGGAGCCAGGGATTGACCCTCGCCGGGCGAGTGCGAATTCACACTATGGGCACATCCGCCAGCAGTGTGTCATCGAGATCGTGGACTACTCGGTCACCAAGTGCAGCGTCGGCCGGATGACGAATCGCCAGCTCGTCCAGATGCTGGCCTCGCCCGAGGCGAGCAAGCGCGAACCGTGGGCGAGAGTGCGGTGGATCAATGTGGGCGGGGTTAGCTGGGATGTGCTCAGCGCGCTGGCGATACGATATGGTGCGTTCGACAACACGCCGGTGTAGTGACCGCTGACAGAGCGTCGTGACAAGACATGCATCCCCTCGCTATTGAGGACGTCATCCACCACCACGGTAGCAGCGCACGTTCCAAGGCGGACTACTACCCACAGCACCTTTTTCTCCGAATATTATGCCACCGCCTGGCGTCCGAAGGCGACTGGGATATTGCAAGCGAAGTCCTCGACGACCCGGATGACTCAGAGGTAGACGGGATGCCACGGTCGGAGTCGCCCGAACCTATGGAGGACTCGGACTACGAGAAGACGAGGCAGGACAGACGGTCGCGAACGGCGAGGCGGTTCAAATCTATGAATAGGCTCTCGGAAGATGTAGAGATGGTCCATGGGACGCACATCAGGAATTCAATGCAGCCGCCCAAGGTGAATATCGTTCGCTCGAGCTTTTCTGCGTTCGCTTGGGGCTGATCGTGGATTGCCTATAAAAGACCCACTCGCGCGAATGGAGAGTCCTCCAGAAGCTCAAGATGGAGAACGAGGACCGAGTGAGTGTGAAGATCAACCCCGTCTGCATCTTTCTCTTCCGAGATGGTAAGGTTTCAACCAAGCCTTGATGATCATTTTGGCCAATTGACCTGTTTCAAGGAACGGTCATCTCTGTTTCTCAAGGTCTGTAGCGCTTCCCTTTGACGCTTTTCACGAAGCGTTGATGCCTCAGGTTCGCAGAGTCAAATCTTGACTTTACAACGCCAATTCGAGAGCGGTTGCGCCAGTTTGACACCGGCCTGCGGAAGACAGCCGATCCGTCCTTGCTCGTGCAGAGTCTGATCGATCTGAGTGCGTACACACTTCCTCTGCAATTCATGCTATGGCAAACGTTTGCATGTTTAGTCGTCGATCAAGCTCTCGAGGTCGTCGAGGAATACCAGGGGACCATCCTCAAGCTTGAGCGAGACGTCCTAGTTCGCCCCAATATGAAGACGGTCACTGCGCGTGCGCCTATGTCCTTACCATAACCCATACATGCGGCTGACACGCGGCAGTGCATATGATCCAGGGTGACTTGAACATGCACAAACGCACACTTGAGCCGATCAAGACTCTTGTGTATGGTCTACGGCGGTACGATATCGACCGTGCTTCCGCCATGCTAGCAAGCGAAGGGAAAGTGTGGGACGCTGTTGCGAAGCCAGTCGGGTTCATGAGCGAGAAGGCAAAGACCTACTTGGTAGGTCTCCACATCCGTTGTACGTGGAACATGCAAATTGATAGGGCGGATACAGGCGGACGTCCATGACCATATGGAGTATATACTCATGAGTTTGGATATGTTTGCTGGGGTCAGTGACAACCTCATCAACTACACATGTAATGTACGTCCGTGTTTGCTTCCTTGGTTTGAGCATGCAGTTGATCACCGCGTAGATGGTATCGTACGAGATGAACGAGGGCATGTAAGCAGCTTCCTCACAGCTACTTATGCCGGTGCTCGATACTTACATCCCTCTCAGGCGACAGCTGACGCTCATCACCGTCATCTTCCTTCCACTGACGTTCCTCTCGGGATACTTCGTACGTGCAACGATGCTAGGGTATGACTGGTATTCATCTTTCGTGCAGGGAATGAATTTCGTGCGATTCTGGGCAGTGGACGACGATAATCACAGCGATCTTCTGTAAGCAATGTCGTTACCATACTACACATCGAACTAACATAGGCACGGGTGCCACAGGTTCTGGGAAATCGCGATACCGATCATGATTATTGTGATCCCGCTGTTCTTGTGGCCCGACTTGAAGCGCTACGGACAGAACATTCAGAGCCACTTCATGCAGCGGCGTATAAAGAAGGTAGGGATCGCAGTGCGGTCTAGCGCATCGCTAGAGACATTGACCACCTGCTATGCTAGGTTGCAAAGACTCGGACATGATACTATGTTGTTCATTGATTTGATATAACAGGTAAAATTCAGACTTTGGACACTGCCTAAGAAGATGTTATATTCATTCCAATACATATATCATCACATGTTCCCTAATCATCTATTGCTCTTGTCATGTACAAAAGCCCAAACACAACAGCCTGAGATATCTTGACCCCAGTGGCCTCCTGAACACCAATTTAGTCAACAGCAATACATCCCGGGAATTGTCATTGCATCACTGATCAATAGCTAAACTAGATACAAATATCAGGTAATGGATACACTCTGAATAACAGTTGTAGTCTTAGGAATCACAGTAAGACCAGCCTGGACAAAATGAATAACAAAAAAGTATCACAGTTCCATTTGCCAACTCCCAGGTCCCGCCAATTGACGAGCCACTAGAGGAGCCAACGAAAGGAGGAGTGAGGGGGATCCCCCGACGACACAGGCCGGTACTGCAGTGGCAAGGTCATCGCGTCCTCAGGTTGCAAGCAGAGCCCGAGGACAAGGGCGGCAAAAATAAGATAACCAGGAATGGAGGCGGTGCCTCCATAATAGTGGTTAAACTATTAAGAACAGATACTACACTTGATCTAAGCCAAAAGGCCAGA